TATATATAATCATCGTATGTGGATGCGTTTTACGTAACTCGCAGAAGCGGCCATTTTTTTTTCTCATCTTTCTTTACTGTTAACCCCTTACTAGACTCGTATAATCAGTGTATGAAAAATATATATGTATATATATGCAAATTGAAGCAGTAAATAAATTAACTTTATATTTTGATCGTTTCGGTTGTTGTAGCACATGTTTTAGGCCATCTAATGAGACGAATGGCGCGCTAAGATGTAATCTAAACAAATAGAAGGTATCCAAAAAGCTTCAGATCATTATCGGAGTAAGGGCAAATTACGAACAAAAAGTCAACTCTTATATAGATGTGTGTGTGTGTGACTGTATACGTATAGGAGAAAAACAGTTAACGTCAGCGTACCTGTTAACGTTTCTGTATTTCGCTTCAGACACTCGCTTATGTTTGATCATAATCCATGAAGCGAACAGTCCAGTAACATTTTATTCATTCATTTGTACAGTAGAACAGCGACTAGACAAACGCTTGCCGTTTTACATTGAACCCAACTCCCTGACCCAAAATTGACATCCGTTCTAGTATTCGCTCACAAGATTGTACTGATATCAGTTTGTGTGTTCTTCTATCTAAAACGACCCGTAACTGGAACAGATTATCATTACTAGTGACTATTTGTAGTTTGCTATTCCTGAGTCATTCGGCACGCAGGAATCGTGCGCTGTTAAAGCTGCCAGCACGCGCACACCTGAACGTGGCTTTTGTTTAGATAGAAAGAAGGCCTGTTGCAGGCTACTTGGAACTTATTCTGATAATTGTTGATTCGATAGTATACTTTACTGAAGTGCTAATTAAAATTGAGCCATCCCGCCATTGCTGCTATCTTCATTTCGTTAATTCCCGTTACTATAAGAGCCATAATTATCATTACTATCATCATATTAACTAACTGGAGACAATAGATCGGTCGATTTTTTGGGTTGAAACATTTTTCGTAAATGGAATAAGAGATGCTCTATGATTGTCCCAGATATATTCCGCTTTAACCGACCGACCAGGCATTTAACCCAATACTGATTCTAAATTAAATTCACTTAGGTTTAGACGACGCTGTTTCCCTAACAAATTTATACGCTCCCGACGCCGATCAGGGATACCGTCTATGACTGCCTTCGCTCTGAAATCAACGAACATCATCAGCAAAGTTACTGCGCCATTTTGAATCGCGGGCATCAGTTATTTAATCTACTGCGACGATCTGTCCAGCAGAGTTTCTGGATTAACAAGGATCAGTTTCTTTCTAACAAGGGTGCTCTAGACTGATGGAAATTTGAATGGCTCCTGTTACTATAATCGAAGGCTGCTGCGAAGCAGACGTCCTTCCTGAACTGCCGCTTCCGTTCTAGCTTGTTGACCTCGGGGAAGTCGTACCTTCCGGCACACGCAGGAGGCTCCGATCTAGCACCCCCGAGGCGGACCTCAGGGCGTGAAGGACTAACGAGAGATTTTCTCGTACGTAACTGAGTGCCGGAGAAGTGGGCCTCTTGCGCGCCTGTCGAATTGCAACGACTAAGTGAGGGAATAGCGCGCCCCGACTGTCGTCTTCATTGTCTGGTCCGTAAACGAGGTGCCGCTGGTGAGGGTGACGAGGATAACCGGCCGGTAATAGGAAGCTCCGTTCGAGTTGCATAACTCGTTCGTTGTACTCCGCGACGGTCGTAGGGGCCAGTGCTGGACAGATGGAGATTATGAAACAGGAAAAATAGTTGCGGTAGTTTCCGTGATAGCGAGATATGTTGAGACGTTTAATGCTGGCCAAGTGGACCATCTATAGTTCTATATAATATGGATTTTCTAGTAATTAGGGAAAGCGAAGTAGTGTCATTTGGTGCATGTGTGTTTATTTATGAGAAGGGCATTTCCTCTGACACGAAAACTAAGCAAGTTCCTGGTCCGTGTGAGTGCAATTTTTCAAAAAACAGATTCAAAAAAGAACGCTAAACGGTCACGGCATGCAAGATTCTCCTACCATATGTTAAGTCGTGCGGGGGTCCCAAATAAATTAATTTATGCTGTACTTATGGACTTTGCGCCTAATGATGTAGTAGTAATAACAATGAATGTAGGCCGTGTTTGATCTGATAGCAACGGCGCTACAAAATGATAGGATTACGTTAAACGATGGAGACTTGCCGCCGTCTGTTCAAATCTCTAAACTGACAGGTGATCATCCAAGTCCTCCTCTCTTTATTATCATTCTATTGTTAAAGACGTTATTCGAGAAGATTCCTGGGACTGAAAACCTTGTGAAAGTGCTTTCATGTGCAGACAACCTAGTTGTCTATGGAAATAACAGATTCCAGACACAGAAAGTTCTGTCTAGATGGTATACAGCCGCCACACAGCTCTGATTCGGTCAGACTCACAAAGGAGCAGAGTGGCCGTTTAAAGTATCCTAGTCATATTAAGTAAGTCCTTAAAATACGTTGACAGGATTCCGCATCTAGGCCTGTTCACACTGTACCACTGCCGTAGCTTCGTATCCGATGAAAGACGCAGGAAGGGACCATATACGTCGGTTACTATAAAAAGTCTGCAACGTCTGTCCATCCCAGTTCTTCTACGCCTCTTCGATTTCCAGATCTCTCCAGTAGTAGTTTGCTTATTGGCCTAATAAGGCAGCATCTGACCGTAGATTATATCAGATAGCCAAACTGGCTAAGGATGTCATTCGTGAAACGCGCGTTGAGATTGCACCATCTAATGTGAATGATTCGCGTACCTTTTTGCCAACACACGGTTTGTTGCCGGAAAACTCAGGATGCGCTTAAACGCATTCTGACCTTCGGCGCGCTCGTGCCTTCGCAAAACGTCTAGGTAGCTGGAAATGAAAATTTGTGGAAATCGACCCTGATTTCCTAAGTACTTGAGCGATGATAAATGACGCGTGAAGGAAGCTAGGTTATTCCAATGGTCATGCGCCATTGTTTTATCACGTGCTATGCACCACATCAGGCCTTCATGAACCCATCGGAAACTGTCTGCTCAAAATTCGCACGATGCCGCCAGATACAGTCTTTAATTAACCTTGCATGGCAAAGATATGTTATTGTATGACTTTGTGGATCTCGTATCACTGTACGTATCATTAATATGATAATAGTTGTAGATGAAAGTTTTTACTTAATTGGGCCTGTGGTGTACGATACATTATTTTGTTAGGAATTAAATTTTTTATCCGGAAAAATTGATGTGCCTAATTAAATATTATATTTATCTATATATAATTATATATAAAGAATTGTGCTGGTTTAATCCCTGCAGTAGATTATTGTTCAGCTTCAACGTGAATTAAATGAGTGTTACATTTTTTTACACTCAACGCAAATACCTGTTTGTAGACATATACGAAACTTTAACCCACTTTCCTTAAATGTAATAATGGCCACTCGGAATTAATGACCCTGTGTATTAATCGACTTAACAATATGAAATGGCCTGCTGTGTGATACTCACTTTGTTGGTCCTTAACAATGTCCTCGTATTCTTCTTGAAAATCCCTACAAGCAATCGTAAATGCTCTCACTGCAGCCGCTAAAACGTCCATTCGTAAATGATACGAGCGAAAGAACTCGCCATACCGACGTTGAAATGGCGCAAAGTCAGCCGAAATCTGCTCGGCATAGTCGGTTACCTGCAAAAAAAAGTAGGGCCAGTTAGGCCATGACGACTGTCGCTACTATTACTAACTTTCAAATACGCCCGCGTTTTCTTGAAATCACATCTTCGTGATTTTCTAATGTTGACACACATTTCATGCATAAATCTTCAAATCATGTCTATCTTTGCACCAGGGTCATCGCACCTCATCTCCCTTTACCTTAATTGGAAGTCGAAGGCTATCGATGAGAGCCAGCGAAAAGACGGCCACGAGTTGTGCAAGCGCGGCAGCAGCATGCTGTCCGGGATCGGCGTATCCAATCAAATAGTCGAGATCGTCATAGGCTGTGCGCGCCGCAGGGTAATCATAACGACCGTCTCGCGCAACCAACTGAACGTGGACGGTAGAGGTGCCCAGGAGCTGGGCGAACGGCAACAAATCTGCGCAACCGCCAGCCGGGGGACTCATTTCAGGTCGAGGGTTGCGTATATTTGATGGACGCAAAGTACCCCGTCTTGCCCAGCTTGCATAGAGACTTGGAGGATTGGATTGCATGGGGGAACTCGCAGGACGTGAGTATAACCGCCCCTGGCCAGCATCCGATGTCCCATCCTTCTCCGTTTTTTTTTCGCCAGCGACACGTCTTCCATCAGCGCCATTATCGTCGTCTCGACTTTCCGCTTCAGGTGATCCGACTTCTGGTACCTGTTCCGCCGCCTCACTGAGAACCTGTCGGAGAAGTGGGCTGCCCATCACTTGTAAAGTTCGGTTTCCTGCAAGACCACAACAATACATGCTAACAGGCGACCATGACGCTTCCAAGCAATGTGCAACCAATCTCTGAACAACGAAGACTGCTTAAGTTATAACTTAAACAAACATCTGTATAACTGAGCATAGATTTGGATTGCGGTAACCCCAGATTTTATTGCAAACTTTAATATGGTAGCTGCGCTGGAGATTCAACAGTCAATACTTTATTTTGCAGACCTCATTTTGCAATGCATCTACTTCTTTACATAATTGCTTCTATTCCTGCACACGCTATGTGAATCATGTAAAAGTTTTTTTACTAAGATGATTTTTCTTCGTCATAGTTTATAGCAAGAAAGCTTTATGTATACGGAAATTTGTTAGAGGATGCTGCAGGTGCAGTCTGATGATTGGATAAACATACGGGCAATGTTTGCTTTATCGATTGAAAGTTTGTACACGCAGAAGTTAGTAGATTTGTAACGTTTTTCGAAGTTACAAGGGATAAAGCTAATCAGATAGGAAGCCATGATGTCGGTCACAGGAATAGATGCGTTGCAATGACAGTGATTAAACAAAATTAAGTGAATCTGTATTACTTTGTTTTTGTAACCTCAATTAGCTTCACATTCACCTTTTTTTTTTTTTCTAAACAAAAGGACCCACGTTCTTCTACGTTTATATACTTGTTCTTGCTTTTATGTTTGTACTAGATAAGAAAGTCTTTCGGTCGGACGAGTGTTCCAACGAAGTCATTACTTGTGAGTCTCTCAAATTGCTAGAATGGCACTAACCTGTTATCGCGCGATCCAATGAGATATATGCAATGATCCGTTGACCCAACTCTTGCCCGTATTTTTGCACAAACTCCGTGCTACCGACCTGGCCAAATTCGGCAGCGTCCCAGGCGGCGAATACCAAAGTTCGTTTCGGTCGCCAACCCTCGATGCGAACCAGGTCAGAGAACATGCGTGCTACCTACAAATATGATTATCGATCGAATCTTTTATCAGCTCGAAGTATGTACCTTTGAGGAAAACTAGCTAAATAGTGAGTGAAAAGCCCAGCACTATGCCACATCGGTAACGGCAAGACTGCACCTCGGACCTGGTCAAGCAATGTTACTAATAATACGAACTTGAAAACAGATACCAATGTGCATAATATGTTTCGCTTTTTCTAGATTTCTGAAAAATGTAAAAATATGTGCCAATGCAAACTTACTTCCATCAGGACAGCCATTCCGGTTCCTGGATCTGCGGCTCCATGTGTCCAAGCGTCATGATGACAACCAATGATAAGGTAACGCCCTGGTAAAGGATTGTTTGTAGCGTTGAACATAGCGTGGAATTAAGCATATATCTCTGTGATTGTTGCTTCACGATTACAAATATATATGAGCTCTGTCGCGTCGGTGGTGGTGTTATTTGAAAAGCGATATCTGGCGGTTGTTGATGTGCTAAGACCGCTGTAACGTCTCTATTCGGATGGAACGCCCTAAGATAACTAAAATTTCAGCAAAAGTCGTTCTAAAAGCTTTGATGCGAAAAATTCCTTTCGTAGTAGCAGGGCAATTACGAAAGAAGTTGATAAAATTATAAATTATGCTGGTGTTGCTCAGTTTGTGGCCATTATATTTACACGGAGCTAACTGTCCACGATCAGCTTTCAGGAAAGCTGGCTACAAAGAAAAACTCGATTTTGGGTGCCATGCGAACGGACGTAAGGAAATTTACTCTGTCATATTTCTATCTGTGAAGCTCTATTGGCGTGAAACGGCACTGAAAGTAGCTAGTTACGGCATACGACATACGACAGTAGTAGCATCTATGGCAAAGCCTAGATTAATGCCAAAGGAGGTGATGCTTTGCGGTTGGTGAGATCGGAAAGGAACTGGTGCATTGTAAATTGTTTCCAAAAGGATTGATCCGGACCTCTGCTGTTGAGAACTTGCAAGACGACAACGAGCCACAAAAAATAAAGCGACCGAAACCAGTGAGCGGAGGTGACAGCGTCTTTTGCCATGAGGACGCCACATAAATATACACGTTTAGCTACTAGGCAAAAATTCAGAGGATTCTGATAAAAAATTTGAATGCACCTGCCGTATAGCCCGAACCTTGATCCGCTAGGCTGTCAGCTGTATTGCTTTCTGCAGAACGTCCGTAATTTAATTTCGATAGAGGGACGCAACAATTACTTGCCTTTTTTTTTGCCCGGAAATCACAGATGTACAATAGTGATAAAGTTATGATGTCACTGTAGTAAATGTTATTCTAAAATAATATTTTTTTTGTTTTAATTTTCCCTCAAAAACGGTCGATACTTTTTTCGACAACAAAACAAAAAGTATATATATATATGCATGTGGGTGAACGTTTCCCATTTCCAGTCATGTAGCTTATGATATGTATATTCTGCTCGGTCATAGACGGAATTGGTAATTGGAAGTTGGCTATCGAAAACTTGGATACTGTATGGCGTTTCGTAGTTAGATATTAGAGTCAGTAATTAGCTATGTAGTTTGACAAAGAAGGTTTTCAAGCAAAAGTATCTATAAGTTCCCCAAAGGGCGAATCGTTCCTGCTTCTTCGGCTCGCATGTGGACTATTGTTATCGCTAATTTTTCGATACGTTGTTCATACCAAAGCAAACCTCAAGTATTGATCGGTGTAGTGAATGCTACTGATTAATCGTATTCGTACTGCTAACGCAATGCAGGCGTTAACGGCCGTCGATAATAGCATAACGTAATAACCCGAAAGCATTGTTTCATGAAAGCGTCCTTAAACTCCGGACGACCTAGGCCTGCCTAACTAACTAAGCATTATCTACGATGTATATGTATGAGACCGTAGAGCAATGGTGCCTTTCGTATGTTTACCTCGCCATGTTATGCAATACCTCAAATAATCGTACACATGAAACATTGGTGATGGTTGGATGACTAGTGTTCGGCTCGAAGTAAAGGGCGCCAAGGCGTCCTAAGGACCAAGAGTCGGATAAGGCTGCTTGATGCTGGTCCCTTCAAAGCTGCTTCCCCTACACACCGTAAACACACCCGCTCCCAACCCTTGACGGGTGCGGAGCTTGGGATCACCTCCAGTATCCATGCCCCTTGGCTTGTTATATGGGCCAAGTGGGTCGTTTGTAGATAACTAATCAGCTACAGGTATTCCGACCGCATTCCCTTCAAGCAATATACATATTATAACTATTGTAGATAATAGTGGCCCTCAACGACTATTACCGTCGCCATCTTGACTGTTCTGCTGTGTTTACCCCTAGACAGAAAAGCCAACTGGCTTAGCAGGGTTGTCGTTCCTATGTGACTTGCGTACTGACAACAAATGGCTCCTAAGCCGGAATCTCGTCATCTCTAGCACTTGGCGTCGTATATCCTGTATCTTGTGTATTAGTTTGCAGCCTCAGTCGCGCGGCTGTCTTTCCGTCCGCGTGAATATGTACATATATGTTAACGTATGCGTATGTATTGTCGAGTACGTGTGTGAATATAGATGATTGCGTTTTGTGCGATAAATGTAATGAGAGGTGTTGCAGTTGGGGTATTACTTTGCCGCCAATAGACACCTGCCGCCCTGATCGACCAGGTTTCCGTTTTGCCGCGCCACGTTCCCACTGTTCGATGAGCAACACGGCGCCCGTCGTGGGAGAGGACCGCCCACCTCATGTTGCGCTCGTTTCCATTACCGTCAGTCGGGAACTATTTAACTTAACTATCCACTAACACTCTGTTATCCCGTAAATCGTTATACTATCAATGGAAAGGCGGGATCTGCGCAACAGCATCCCAACAACAGCTACCCGGCACCGACAATGCACGGGACCGGTACCAACGAGGTTATTCAACGAGGTCGTTCAACCCGAACAACCAGTCATAGGCAGACTATCGTGGAACGACGGGCTTTGAACAGAGCGAGAGCTACAGGCGAGAAGGAAACCAGTTAACGCGCTAATCCCTGACAGCTTTATTGGATCACAGTTTAAGTACCAGTGGTAATTGATTGTTGTATCACGAATCCCCATCATTGTGCGGTCAATGTAAAGAGTAAGCGAAACAGGTACTGTCAGAGAAAAGGCAAGGGAGAAAAAGCTCAGATCCATCTCATCGTCATTTCTTCGAGTAGTGCTCGCCTGCGTAGAGCTCGCTGAGGGTCGCCGGGAGTTGAAGCTAATGCGATTACTACAGCTACTAATGACCGGTGCTGACGAAGCTCTGCTTCGCGGGAATTTACATTGCCTCACGGGTTGAGTCAGTGGGGACTAGAATGAATGGCTGATTAACGAAAATGCACCCATGCATGTATAAACAGGGAAGGCCAATGTCCCTCTCGCTGTGCTATACGCTAGGCTTCCGTAACAGGTAATAAAATAAAATAAATAAATAAAATAGCTACCACTTGTACTGAAGCAATTTATACTGAAGCCTTACCAAGCTTTTTTTTTTATTCTTGTTGTTGTTGAACCTTTTGTTTGTCGTTATCATCGAGTTTTCTTCTTTACACATACGTTTCGGGTCACACAAGTGTCTGATAGAAGTACCTACATAATTATGTTTGTTGTGGATTGAAGCAATTCGATAGTTTTCGCAAGCAATTGGCTGAAAGCGAACGGCAGGTTGATCCTTCCCGCCTCCCTAGAGCTGAAGAGATGATCGGGTTCTTGTTACAAGCAGCTGTTGACGCAGCAGCGTCCGATACCGACGTGTTTAGTGGAGAAGCGCGCTATTCTCTATGCTCCGTTGCTCACGTTTTAGCCAATCTAGTAGGACAATTGGAGTCGAGTATGGTACCGATACTTTTTCTGAAGGCAAGTTAAGTATGCGGGGCAAGGTACCCCGGACACAGCATAGCACAGATAGCGTATTCGACGGTAAACTGTCGCATGATTAGTCGCCGCCATAGAACCGACGAAAACCGACATACTAGTATTAGGGCTGGACCATCCTAATCATCGGCTAGAAACAGTGGCAGCCCCAGCAACAGTAGGCGTCGCGGCCTTCCGATGGAAGGATGAACCTTGCGGAATCGGCGAACGAAAGAATCTGCATGGCGAACCAAGCAAGCTGATGGAACTTGTTCCACAACGCTATCATAAGTGAAGTGAAAAGTGAAACTCCACGTCTTTGAGCGTTCAGCCCATCTCAGATATATTCATTTATGCTTTGAGATTCATCCGAATGTTCCGAGTACCTAGAAGTTTCAATATATTCTAAATTTATTCATTGTACGCACGCCTAGAAACTTAAGCTGATAGCGGCCGAATCGATAGATTGTTCGTTAACAGGAGTTAAATTAAAAGTGAATTTTCCAGAACAGTCTGAATCCTTGCGATGTCTCCTGACTAACAACCGGGCATTGCAATTTCAAAATATCGCAGCTTGCTAGCACTGCTTGTTCGTTCAGTAACATGTATCCGTAGACGGATAAACAACCTACATAATAGAGAACATTAATGGAATAGTTTTTCAACTCATTTTTAAAGGCTATAGAATATTGATTATAGGCCAAGTATGAAAAGGCTACGGTGCCCTCAATAGGCTGTCTCTTCGCGATAGATCTCAGCTGTAAATAATCAGCGTTCAAATGACTGTACAAGCGATTACGTTACTGTTAGTGAATGGCTTTGCACAAACGGAGCGTCTCTGTTTGGCGAAATAGTGGAAAATGTCTCCAGATTAGAGGATAGAGGCGGCGGGCTATTCGTAGCTAATGAACTTGATAGGCGATAAATTGTGGCACATCTCGATTGTTTTGGTAGGTATTACTAACAAAGGGTTTCCCCGAACCCCTGCACTTGCACTTAATTAACACAAAATACTGTTCCGCTTTGTTTTTTTCTATTAGAAGAAAAATAGTGTGCATAGCGACGTTTCAGAACGGGTCGCGAGCCACCTAAACCATCCCTCACAACATATATAGTGAAGCTCAATTGGGGTAGATAAATCATCCTTCTTCAAATTCATCTTCTAACTGTGTTTTGTTTAACTTACCTGGCTCGTATGTACCGGGAATAAGTCCGATGACGTTGTGAACTGCCATCTCTCTAAAGAGATTGAATGAGGACAGCTGAATTTCGCTAGAGGAACGCAATGTTATGAATTTAGCTTTTATTAAAATTCGGATAATTTTTTAGTAAATATTTATTTTCTTAGCAAATTTAAATATTTATTATTATATAATGCGCAGTCGGCTTCGAAGCCGAAAAAATTTTGAAAGACAAAGTCATATAAAGTGATAACACTGATATACGCTTTTTATAGAGCTGAGAGAAAAAACGTCTATTTTGCGATTTTTATGTATTACATTATACAGTAAAACATTAGTATTAGAGGAACGTCCAGTGTTCTCCGCAGATTAATGTTCTTCTAAATCGCACTAATGATCGGTTTCAATTGTTATGCGAAACTGCTAACAGAGTCCCAAATGTGCATGTAACAGAATGGCGGCGTGCTTTATTAAGTATCTTCATGTACTCATGGTAAGACTGTCCTTGTCTTCAGAATTATACCTGATAATTTCTCGGTTTCTCATATAGAGATTGCACAACTACGTAGATTCGATTTCTTGAATAATATTAATAATGCATCGAGGTGTTTTTGTAACTTTCAGAACAATAAAGTTGAAGCCAAGTCAGGATAGACAGAGCTTGAGGTTCTGAACGATACTGCAGCATATATAGTTGATATTAGCGATGTGTGTTTTCCAGAATTGCCGTTCGGATTCTAGTGGTAGCAGATATGCTATTTCAAGGTAACAAATGACGATACACAGTAAAACGAGTTGACAGTATCGGGTACCTTGACATAGCTTTCACGTTAGGGTCAAATAAAACAATAACCTTTTAATTATAATAATAATAATAAAGGTAGTAAGTATCTAGTGGAACACGCACGATCAGGGTAGGTTTGGGAGGAAGTTCACTTTTCTATATATCTTTTATAAATCAAATGGTGCATCTAGGCCTTTAGCGTTGAGCAAAACGAAGGCTATGCTCTAAAAGGTATTCGACTGTACCTAAAATACATGGGTACAAAGTAGACTTACACTTCCGCAGCATCTTTATAACCAGGCCCAAAAGCAAAGGTAATATTGAGTCGGCCTTGCCATTGGACCGGAGCGACAGGTCCTCCCATGTCGCTAGAATATGACCAGGAAAGCAGAAAACTCACGATTAGGTTTATGGGAAATTTCAAAACTACTTGATTCACTTCTCATAGTTCACGGAAGTTTCTTTTGATCTAAGTCACTTTGTGTTCACAAACAAAAACGACAGCCGAATTAAAACAAAAAATATTAATTTATGCACGTCTGTACGAGTTAAGTTTAGGTCATGCGCGCACATGTTTCTGGTTAAATGTCCTGCGTAGTTTAAACTGAATATCTGTCCAAGAATAAAACTTGACCCGGAAAAATGCAGCGTACACAGGATAAAATTCTTGTTGTTTTTAAAATAAATCATATAGACATATGGTAACCCGGTGTAATTTTGCTTATAACACAAGGATATATAAGCGGATGAGCAAGAACACTGAAATCTATGTGATTTCAACTTAAGTAGAGGAAACAATCAATTTAAGTTTTAGTACGGCTTTACGAATAATATCTCAATACCGACCAATTTTACAATTATCAGGTAACCAAATAATAATAATAATTTAGTAAAGAAACGCAGGAATAACTCCATTGTATATTTTACGTGAACGCCTACTGAACTGTGTCTGTACCGAAGGAAATGCTGAGCATCTCCAGCGCTGATCGGCTGCACCGGTATAGCGGGTAATTGGACGTCGGCTCGTGGGAGACGGTGCATGTCGGAGCTGGCGGGAAGAAATGGGGTCGCTGGATCCCCGGGAAATGACTTGAGACTCGCCCGTTCGACCGCATCCCACGGAACTGGGGGGCTGCCTGACTCCAGCGGGTCTACTGATTCCCATTCGGTATCGAGTGGATCACCATAAATAAGGACACCTTCATTGATAAGATCAAAAATAGCAGAACATAAAAGAATATGTATGTATCAAGATCGCTGAAGAACAATATATATATATATATATATTGTTTTTTACAAGTACAAACGTAATTTACTTTTAAAAAAATCTAAGGACCTTATCATCCGTCGGAATTATGCCGACAGAAAATGATAAGCAGTACAGTCTAACAACCAATGTTAGTGAAGGCAACTTTCCCTAGCACACTGTATAGGAAACTCAAGTCCATCGTTCCTCTGCAAAAAAACCATTTTGTTGCTACATTAGTGTTAACTGTCATATATACCTTTAACGCCGTTGTCCTCGGCTCTCTTAATCTTTGCCAGCAGTTCACCTTTTCCATAGCGCATAATGGCTATCGTTCCGTTTAACGTAACTCCTCGCGACTTTAACATATCAAAATCCTCAGGCTGGCCGAAGTGCACATAGACCGGCTTACCCCGTACCTTTCCCGGTGACGAGTATGCCACGTATGGCTGAGTTTCTATAGAAGAAAAACAATTCGTGATTGGATGCAGAAATTTTGCTGCTTTCATCAATACTTCATAATGGTTCGTTCTTTTCTAGACGAATGCGTTGACCTCAGAAACTAGTTTTGGGCACTGCAAACGGTTTCGCAGATTCCCGAAGCCGTAGCGTATCTCTTCTTCAGCATGTCATCTTTCGCAGGTAGAACACGTAAATTGTGCCCGTCACAATACTTGCTCAGGTTTGCCGTTCGCTTCGAATTTAAATATGTCAAAATACAATGAAGATAATATGACTAATATCGAAGTCAATATAACTCAAAGTTAGAACAGCTTCTTTGCGGAAGATTACGCAGAGAGGTTCGAGTCATCGATCCTAATCATTTCCACAGCAAATAATGGCTAATTTCTGTTTTGCCAGGTGAAGTTTCTGTCTCGAGTTAAACACACACATCCTGTCAATGTAACTTAAGCGAGTCATAGATGCTACTCCGCGAGACACTCACCTAGTTGATTGTCCCGCGTCGTGGTGGTCAACTGGAATAACACCCTAGACCCTCTCGTAAGTCGAACCTCGTTTGCCCGTTCCATATCTGGATAGGATAGCAACGGACGAAACTCTTCAATTCGTAGTCCTTGTAGTTCCTGAGTCTGCCATGCGGCTCGTATCTTGCTAGCCAACGTGGCACCTTTGTCCGAACCGCCCACGTGGAACTCACGTGTCATAGTCCTGCAAATGCAATTTAACTCGACATGACATTATTGTGTCACGATTACAGCTGTCAGATCCGCTTGCCCTAAGTCGCCTCCTTCATATCGGCCGGATGCATACAACTGCTACCTCATCAGTGGGAGAATATTCATCGTCTGGCAACAGTCGAAATCAGTATAAGGGCTATGTGGTCAGGAGTCCAATGGTTCTCAAAAACGGTAGCGGCAAAGCCGGGAGCGAATGTATGCCCCAGTAAATTTCCGGAAGGGCCGATATCGAACACCGATACCGATATGGCTAGCGACCTAGCCCCATCCGATCGAACCGTATTTGTGGGTTGTCTATCCAAGCGAGGAACGGAAGTAACAAAAGAATTGCCGAGACAACTAACATAATTGCGATAGCGAAACTGCAACTGAAGGAGGGAATGCTTTCGTACGAAAGGTGCCTTTCAGTCTGCCACCTGCCAGCAACTGTCACGAGGACGCGAACTTGTACAAGAAGAAATAGTGCTAGTTTGCGAATTCAGTGAAGCTATGCAGAAATTACCTTGTCGATCTCGTTGAAGCAAGAGGCATGCCTCAATCAAATTTAATAAATCAGAGGGGGAGAGAGAGAGAAATGCTTAAGGGTAAAACACTGTTGGAACGGACGGTTCCTGTTGAAACTGTATGCTTCAATGCGTTCACGCTCTGCTCCGAGTGCGGGCGGCTCTTCTATCGAACTTACAATAGATAACAAACAACCTGCAGGTTCTATTATACCAAGTGTAATTTATGACAGTTTAAGTATTAAAAGTTCTGTTAATGAATTTCTAAATATGCCCAGGATAGCAAGGAAGAAAAGCGGAGAAATTTAGATTGGCACTCGAAGTATACGTACGACTTATTTAGAATATATTATAAACAAATTAGAATCAAGTACAGATTGTCTTAATCATATAACTGAGCTCTTGAAAATTTCGACAAACACCACTACTTGTATTGATTCATCGTTATTGATATATAGAATATTTTATCTGCAGCTTACCAGTTATTAAGTAGTCATATGTATTTACTATTCGCTTTGAAGGCTATGATTCGATTCCTCTCGTCACAATATACATATGTTCAGATAATTAATTTGACTAATTAACGTCCGTCACCCTATTATCGCTCAATAACTAGCGAGTGATAGAAAAAGAATCTTACGTCTATCTACGAGCGGTATTGGCGCTAAGTAAACGGCTGGCTCTTTCCGGCGCGAAACAAGGTTTTTCTATGCCAATTTCAAGCTTAGATTTAAACCTACGTCACGAGTCCTTATGTCGTTAAGGCAAAGACGTTACTGAAGTAAATTCTACTACATCGCATATGTATATGAAGGTGTAAAACATCTGTTTATACAGCAACCTCTTTATATTCCGTTGACTGCTACATTTCATACGTGACTATTTAGCAAATCGTTCCCATATTAATGAACACGTAACGAGAAGGAAAAACGCTCAAGTGTGCTTCTGTTCCTACCCAATTTCAGACACACATCAAAGGCCCTTTAGCAGCTAATTAACGTGGCCGCACCAAGCATTGTTGCATTGAGAATGGACACCCCGGGAAGCGCCTATTGTTCTGAAAAGTAAAGAGGGCCTATCTCTAGGGGGTCGAAAGGCGACATTGTTGTTGTTACCATCGTCGCCGGAAGTCAGTGTGCTTCCATAAACCTAAAATATTTTACCTCGTTTTTCCGGGATGGCCTGTCACCAGCAGAATATACGAGGGTTCACCAGCTTTGTTGAGGACTAGTTAGGCAACTATATAACTACGACGTACGACGAAATCAGCCAGTGTAGCGAGATTAAGTCTTTCATGGCCTGTTTCATCCCTTTGCGCCGTTCCCATACGAGGGCAAACATTCAATAGCTTTTTTACTCTCTCTTCAACATTAGCTCTTACATGCTACTGACAAACAGGCCGTCAGCAGGCTTCGGTCTTAGCGTCGATAGACTCAGAATACCTCCGTCTTTCACTTGAGCGTCTAATTGCTACCACAGCTGCTTGTGAAGGAAATTGTACACCATCCATGCCTCCGCCATTGGTGCTAGTGCTGCCGCTGGTGGCAACGTGCGTAAGCACCACTCATTACTCCCGTGAAGTGGCACTAAGAAAGTCAGACGAAACCAAAGGCTTAGGCAGCTCGACCCAGTTAAACTTGTGAGGAAGTGACAGCAGCAGCGACGGGGACGACCAACAGGCCAAATAAGTAAACGAACCTAAAAAAGGGCTAAGCTTTCAACCAGTTTTCTTCTTCTGTTTACCAATAACATTGCTCTATATTTAATCGTTTGCTTACGCTGCCTCCCTCAGCTGCCACCCTGGCAATTTTTTGCAAAACAGATCAGAGTTTTTGCTGCTATCAAAGTTGAACCGTTTCGAAAAAATAAGAACACAAGAGGTGTAAAGTCAAAGAGGACTTGATGGGGCTGGACTTCAGACGAACATTAGGTGTTGGAGAACTGACACATCGGTGCATCTAGCGGCTAGGGGGCACCGACAGTAGCAGATGTGACAACAGCAGCAGGTGGAAAGAAGTGCGGGTGATCGCAAATGATTACAAACTTTTACTGTCTTCACTGTATCGTTTCGGTCGAGTTGCTTTTTCTATTTGTTATTATAACAAAGGAGGCAAACGAGAAACAAAGGACGAAGAGAACATCGAAACAAACTGAGGGGTTGAAGGGGGGTGCAGGCGAGATAAGCGCACCCGAGCAGCTTATGGCAGCAGAACAGAGATCCGAAATCCGAAAATTCATGAGCTAACACTATTGCCATACCTAGCCATCTGAGTGCAGAACCGCAGCGCCACCCGTGGCGGTCCGATACACCCAGTAAAATTAAGATGAGTGCTTTTTTTCTAACGGCTCCTCAATATCTTTTTCTCTTTTGACAGTTTCGGTTATTATCGCAAGGAAGTTGTAGATGATAGCTTTTACGAAAATTTACCTAAGTCGGAATGTACTAGCCTAAACAGTGTATGCGTATCTGGCCGCATAAGTGTTTCTGAGGTTCGGTAACACGGCTTCAACAAGGTATGGGTAAGCCCATAGTGTATACAAGTTATGTATATACGGAATAAACAATGTAACTGGACCAACCAACCAATCCTTATTGAATTTGGGCTAAGTATTTTGTTGCAGTAAACGTGTAAGTGACAATGGCCCGATGCGCGTGCAAAGGCTGTAATGCTTACCATAACCAGCTGTGTATGTTGTCTCTGCTAACAGATTTGACTAGCTTCCTAATGAGACCCTCACGTGGGTAAAGGCTCAACTGTGGCGGAAGGTCCTCGCAAGATCCAGGTTCGCCTGTGAAACTACCTCTTCTCAGCTGAATCTGCCGTCGGGTCGAGTAACCTAGTATGAGGCCAAGACAGAATACACAAAATACCCATAACGCCTGAAAAAAGAAATAGAATAAAAATGAAATCATCATACTTATTTTTTGCTTGTTTTACGCAACAGAGAAATCCTTTGGCATAAATTGAGTTGACTTCATGTAATTTAATTTTCTGTACACTGTTGAAGTGGCCCACTTTCAGTTGATATTTGATTATTCATAAAATACTTCATCTGTGGACGAGCGATCGAACTCACTGCTATGACCTCCCGAATTCAGTCTTCACCTTGAAATTCAACATCTATTCAAGAAGAGTAAGCATTTTACATTTTGTAATTTTAATAATTCGTTATAAAATTTCCGTAGACCTCTTTTATTTCACAAATTATTTCATTGTAGCACATGCAAGCATGTCTACAAAAGACCAGAAAGAGATAGCTGGGATAGAACCAACATTTACTTAACGCTATCGCTCAAAAACTGATATCATGAGAAAGAAATAAAAAAAAACTATACTAATATGTTCAGTAAAGTATCTTTTGCTATGTCGCTAAAATGACCTCATTACAATTCAATTACCTCAGCCGTTGGCCCATATAGCTTCAAAAGGTAAAGTCATTCAGGCCAAAAGTGGGGTAATGTGGACCATTGACGATCTCATACAAAGAAGTCAGAACTAAACGAAAGAAATGTGATTATGGCTAGAAGAGTCAATATGTTGCGATTTATTGCCAAGCTAGCCAGATCAGTTTGTTTCCCATAGATCCACGTGAACTACACACCTACGAGGCGCACTTTATTCGGGAAGTGGGGAAGAATAGAGCATAATAATAGTGGCAGCAAACCTTTTTCCAAGGCCCACTTGACTGAACGGAAACCTGTATAACTATCGTGCTTATGCATGACTTGTGTAGAAATAATGGTAACCAATATCATTCGCTATGTGGGGCATATGTCGACAACGTTGTCCGATCGATGTGTTATGCCAATAAAGTGCCAGCAGCCACATGTGACACACATGTTGAAAGCAACAATATCTGGTGCAGCGAATAAAACGATACGGAACCTGGTTAAACTTAACATAGGTTCCCAGTAAGTTAAATTATACTTTGAGGCTACTTAGTCGTTTCAATATCTTTGTGAACCGATGGTATTCGGCTTCAGATATGGTCTAAATGCAGTAGCCCATATAGCCCCCGTACTGATTATACTTAATGATACTTAATGTAATGATTTTTATAGGGTGGCATTAGCTTTAGATAAATTTGCCTCTGACAATCTAGTTTTGGGACAGATAAATCTGTTTATCTGAATCTGTTTATTATGAATGTTAATTCGATAATTTTGCAAAAAGAGTACCTGTGTTTCCCATATAGTCCTATAGATTTTCTTTTACTTTTTTGTATATCTTTAATTAGAAAAAAATTAACCACACGCCTTACTTATATGCAATAAAAAGTGCGGAAGATATGAAAACGTGAAATCGATGTTTTTCCTTCCAAAAACAAAGTGGCCTATGCACCTCCAGGACCTAAATGTTCCGAGTTTTATGCTCACTATTGTGTTCCATAAAACGATTTCTCTCCCTCCGTCTCACGTAAGCCTATTTTCCCATGCTCTGTGTGCATATACCTGGTATTTTTCCTTTCGACTATGTTGTTAGCTTTGTGCTGGTTGAATGCATAATGTTGGTCAGTACACCATTTCTCGATAGCTTGACTGCAAATCTTATTTAAAAATCCCGATAACAAAAGTTCATCGCTTGAATTTAATTCGGTTCCCCTAGGCGATTGCGGCTAGATTAACGCCGGTGCGTTTATTACCACATCACCAGAATCATCAGGAAAAAAAAAGGAAAGAAATCCGTTTTGCCAAACGGGACGTCGTGTATGCTAAGAGGAAAATTGATTTCATAACTAGTCGTTTCCTTTTCCATACGACTTTCTTAAACTGTTATAAATTAATACTTGGCACACGAGTTATCAGTAAGCGCTATCCGTAGCACGCAATAAAATCAGCGCGGGGAAGCAGTCCACGGTAAATATGACCAGCATTCAATTCTTCTTATATTCATATGCTCATTGGTCGTCCTCAGGGCTACCTTCTCAACAGCTGAAATAGCCAAGGGCCGGTCACTACTTTAAGAGTGAAAGCTTTTACTCCGTCATACCGCAGCCGCGGTGATGGTATGACGTTCGTTGTGTGTCTTATTACTCTTGTCTGCAGACTTCTTCTTTTCGTCCTCGTCACTCCTGACCTTTTCGCACTCCTGGGGACTCCCCCAGCGTTCTTAGGTTCGTCTTCGTTCACAAGCCTCTCCCGGAAATGAAGCCAGAGCTTTTTGTGCTTCATCACCAGCCGATACTGCTAACCGCTGTTGTGCGGGCGGTTTCGCCATGGTCAACTCCCCTAGAGCAGCCATAGCGACCGGCGGTTCTTTCATCTGTTACGTGTGACGGCAAGCATTTGGCGTTGCCCTTATTTGAGGCAGCGGTAGCAGCTCTTCACTGACTAGCGTTTTCATTATCCGTTTGCCGCCACTAAGACTGTTGTAGACAGCCAGCGTTGTACGGTTTGGTTCTTTCCAGCCCAAGCGGTACTATTCTCTAGGGTTCAGACATAGTCTTTTGCGCCAGTTACGTTCCCTCATATCCCCATTCCTAGCCCTCTTCTTCACTCTATGCCTTATATCTCTCCTAATAAGTCTCAATTAATAAGCTGCACGCCTTTGATCATTTAAGTCGCCCAAGCCCTGTTGGTACCAGCTTGCTGTAAGGCATGAACACGCTGCTGGCCCAACGTATGCTCTATGCGTCCAATATGGGCCCTGCCCAAACTGAGCGACCCTAAACCTGCACTTCAACGTCGACTTTTGTAGTTAAGCCCGCCATTGTGACCGGCTAGGCAAGTACTTAGCGCCATCGAACAAAGCGTATTGACGAGACGACCACGTTATCGAGAAGGAAGTAACGACGTGATAAAGGTAGCCAAACGTGTGCTATGGGCAAAGTCACCGTTTAGGACTATTTCTTTTGTTTCGCCCATGCCTTTCATAGCGACTCAATAACAGAACGAATCGCATTGCCTCATCTGCACCTTGAGGTCTCACGGAAATTGTCGTGGGTCTTCCATCTTTAGACCATTTTGATTTAGCTTCTGACAATCTTTCAATTTCCTTAGAGTTTTCAATTTTCTTAGACTTTACTATTTCATTATAAAAAGTCTCACTGAAGGCCGGTTAAAACGTTAATCTAAAAGCGAAATTACTGTTAAGTGTTTTGCCTGTATTGAGCTTCTTACAACATTGCGAAGAAAGATATAGTCAGACTAAATATCTCTTCGAAAATTTTGCTTACATGTGTTTTGCGAGTGTCCCGTCGCCATGTTCAGTGGACACAGTCTAACAGCAGTTTATGTGCCAGTCGTTGTTATCTGGTAGTTCTGCAATAGACTCTCACCCACGTTTCCACAAGTATCTGACCTCTAGACCGAATCAATATATGTCAAGGGCAATACCTTTCGATAACTTGAAAGCTACAAATGCCCTTGTGGCTCCATTGCAAATACCTATTCCTAAATTACTTTCACTCTGGTCTTAATTTTCGTAATCATTTTGCGTGGAATCGAGAGCCCCGCACCCAGCGATCTGTGCGGCCGGGTCGTGCTCTTCCTTTGACCTCACATCAACTTAATCCGTATTTACGTTGGCGCGTATGAGGGTACCCTCCCCCTCTATTTGGTAATTATCAGCCATTTGCTGCTTCCGACGAGCGAATGTATGGGATGCGGGGCCTCCACCGGGACGCTTCCGTATAGACTAATACGATATGACGCTGACGGTATGGGCAGATGGGCAGATATATAAGCACATACGCGTCATTGTAAATCTCGAAAAACAGTAGCTTTTCCTTCTGTGCTCGACCTCTGTTCTCCAAGCAAGTCAATAGATTAAACAATACACTGGGACGTAAATGCTGAAACTTTTGATTTCGCCGCGTCTAAAATTGTCTCCCGCTCAATTCAGTTGGTCCTTTGGGTTTTCCATGATAACGTCAATAAAAACGCCCAGTCAGGGGCCTAAGTCTAGTGAAGAAACGCTGAATAGGAAACGATATATCGAAATGGGCTCTAACAGACACAGCAAGCCCACAATCGCTTTTACGCGAAGAGGTTTCTTTTTCGCACCGAATCAATGACACCGAGATTCAGCACGTCTGTGCTGACTCTGCTGAATCAGTTTTTCCTTTGGCTTGGCAGCCGACTGATAGGAGGCAGGAGTATGGAGGATACGAAACCGTGCAATAAAGCTACGAAGATCTGCCTTGGTTGACGACAATGACGAGAAACACGCGACAATATTAGATCGGCTTTTTATTTAAAGGTGTTAATAAAGAGCCCCGGAATAGAAGCGACGATTGCCTACACATTTAGTCATTTGCAGTAACGTCAACTGTACTTTCGTTAGTGTTTTACTAAAGTTATCTCGGCATAACTGGTATTGGTAATGTTTAAAATGATTCCTCTTTTTACTGCCTCAGCCGGCTAATTGTCGATTGATTTACGGATGTTGACAAAATGAAAGATTCGATCGTCATAATATAGATCTAATAGAACAGCTTTCCTCCAACGCCTTTGTGCGCCCGAATTATGTTTACTACACGATGTAACAAGGAATTTAATTCTATGCTATGGCAGATCGTCGACATTCACTGAACTATCTGGGTGGGAACGAAAAAGCACTCAGGCAAACAAATGCTAAGTAACTGCGGCTGGAATCTACCATAGAAGCAGTAGTCAAATACGTAAGACAAAGTAACAATAAATAAATTATTACGGTAATCCATTTATTTTTCATTGTCCAGTCATTCTCAGCTAGCCGCCGTAACGATCTATTTGGCATCGGAATAGGCTAACTTAATACAGATTAACAGTACTTTTCTGTCGTCTTTGGAACTAGATAAGTTGTTATCGTTCAACGTCAATGATTAGAGTCGTCCCATCAGAGTGCACGCGGCCCGTAGTACTTACTACTCGTCATCTAAATGGATTTCGTGTTTTTC